AAAAAGATATCCCTAAGTGACGCAGTCTCTATCTAATAAAAGAATAAACTTTGGGCTTAAATCTAATCTTCAAGAGTGCTATTGGTCATTTCTGGGTACATGCTAGAATATAAGCTTAGTCTGATGGGTTGATAATTCCTTTAAAACAAGTTCTTCTCTCAACAGGTGTTTCCTGCGTGACATAAAAATAGACAGACACGAAGCAATCTTTCCTCAGAAAAAAAGACTTTGGATGAGGTTCTTTAGACATCCATTCACTTCTCTTTTGACCTACTTTTCGAGACAAACACTGATCCTGAAACTCAATGCGGATTATGCATGCATGAACACATGCACATCTGCACCCAATACTAATCAAACTATGTACAAAAAAATGAATTCTCCAATAAAAAATCAATCACCTGTTTTTTTAACTTAATGAAAATTTGTTAGGCTTAACTGATGAACTAATTGATTAATTTATACAAAAAATAGGAAAAATATGAATTTAAAACAGGGGATTATACTGAAAATAACAACAACAACACAAAAAGAAATCACACTAAGGACACTTATTTAAGATAAAATAATAAAATAAATCAGATTAGGTTTTAAAAAAATTCCAATTGCCAAAACTGTTTAAGCTATATTCTTTTTTTTTTTTTAAAGCCCCTCTCCCCTGAAAAATAAAGGAAACAAAACTCATACTAAAACAACAAAAATATAAACACCTGATAAAACCTTCATCCGCTCTCTCTAAAGTATTAAGATGTACATAACAAACTACAATCTGGAAGTGACAAGCTACTTATCACAAAATCAAAATGATGTCATCACCTGAAGCACAATTACCCCTCAAACACTGACCACAATCAAATATCCGAGCTTAATTATCAGAGATTTCAAACAAAATTTCGCTTAGACATGAGCTGCATTTACACTGCAAGCAAAAATCATTGATTTTTCTCACATTTTGATATTTTGTCGGAAGTTGTTATACAAAAAATATAAAATAAACAAAATCAATGTCTTGGGTGTTTTTTTCAAAAAACACTGGCAGAAATTTCACAGATTTTGCAGTGCTGCTCTTGAAAGATTGATGAATGATTACAATTTTTGGTCACATGACTCTTCCACGTTTCTGTGCAATCTCACGCAGAGCAGTGACAAGTCTCGCATGCGCATTTCTCACACAAAATTGGAATGAGCAAACATCAATGGTTTTTTTATGGGCGTTTTTGTTTAAATCAATGATTTTTCAAAATGGTGTTTAGTTTAGGCTGTGTAAATGGGCCAATGGTAGACAATGATCCTAATACTTGACTTCCACTCAAGGTCACCATACTGATTACTAAACAATGAAAACAGTTCTCCAAGGTAGACCTTTAAGTTGTTGGATGGTAGCGAAAATCACACTCGCTTTCTAACAAATAATCATAATTAAAGTACTTCAAGATTCATAGAAATAACTTATTTCGGCCTGATAATTATGAATGATGCCTTATCAGTGATACTGCATTACAATAAAGGATTTTATTTTTAATATAATAAATACATTTGGAAAGGCACTATATCCTCAAATTCCATTCTATGTTTTTGTTTTTGTTTGGTAAAAGCAATCATTTTAAAACAAAAAATTGTTAATATTGGAAGTGGAAAAAACAAAACAGAACAAAGCTCCTATTTTTAAGTCTCCTACTGTACATGCCTTCGCCTAAAATCAGTTAAGATACGTGTTTGAATTATTCTTGGAATATCACTTTGAGAACAAAAACCCTCTACTTACATGTCAATCAATCTTTATGGCCTTTGACCTTTGACATGAAAATTCGAAAATATGATCACTTGTCTCCCTAAAGTGATGCATGCTACTTACAGGTTCACTGCTAAAATAGCTTTAAATTATTTGGTCACAACAAGGTTAAAGGTAATACAAAGTTTTGGGAAATTTGAAAATTGGGTGGATAGTGATTCTTTACTATATTGATATATTTGGATGCCCCTGTGGATGTATTATAAGCACTAGAAAATTTAGCACCTTAAACACTTCTGCTTTTGAGAAAATTGAATATACAAATTTACCGGTGCTCCCGGTAAATTTTGATAAATTTCAAATAGCGCCCACGGCCGTACAATGGTAGCTGCGACCATGAAAATCTCAGAACATAGTTGTGATATATAATTTCCAAACGGGGATAGCTATTCGGTCGATTTTAGTCAAGAAAAATTGTTTTATAGCTTAATTAATATCTTGATTTTGAGAGGGAGCTATACAACATAAAGAGTGTATTATTTATAATTTCATAATTTTAGACTCAATTTCAACCGCGACAACGATCACTGAATATTGTAGGATCACATATGCTTCCAATATGTTCATTTGAACCAAATTCATGACCCCATACCAAAACTTTGTATTTCATTTAATTATATTGCTGACCTTTGATATTTGACCTTCTTAATTTACCCCAAATCTGATCAATCTGTCTCACCATGGTGATGCAAACTAATTGGTATTAGTGTGCATCACCATCTAGTTCAAATTATACTTCGTACATGTATTTTTCTATGAAACTTATATTCTGCCAATCTGAAGAAGAGAGCAATATGTTTTTTATTCTCTGGATTTAAAACTGGTTTATCTCATAAATCCATGAACCAAACAAACAATGAAGTGGATTTTTTTCATTAACAGATCTAGTTTACAAGCTAGTAGAATAATCATGGAACTAACAGACACTATGGTGATCTTTTATTATTCATAATTTTGTAATAATTCATAATTTATTATTAATATGATTGGGCAGTTTTGCAATTGGTAATCAAAATTGTTTCAAGCTTATTCCTAGAAGTATAATTTAAAACTGAACAGTATATACAACTGTACAACCCCCATAAAAAGAAGGAAATAGAGAAAAGAGGAAAGGAGAGAATTGATGTTGTTTGTTGCCAGTTTCTATCACCAAACAACAACAACTACAACATCAACTGAATTATATGCATAAATGGAAAATATGTTGTAACATCACACAAGTGTTACAAATTATTTTAAAATCTGCACCGACAGCATTTTAACTAAGATTTATATAAGACTTGTAATAGACTGAAAGAAAGAAGTGGAGTCATGTTGAAGTATGAGAAAGAAGTCTGCTTTGTACATTGTAACTCCAGGGCATTCTAAAATTTCTAATCATATACTGAATTGTTTTTACATGGCATATTATTTAGTATGAAAACAAAAACATGTTGTTTTCATCTTTTACATGTTACCCCACCCCCATCTCTCCTCTCTCTTTCTCTCTCTCTTTCTATCTCCCTCACTCACCCTCATTTCTCAATCTCTCTTTTTTTCCCTGTCTTTTCTCTTTAAGCAAGTACAATAAACGAAAAGGAGAATTGTTAATGCGATTTGTGAATTAAGTTGTACATGATTCCATTTTTAGCTATATAATACATGATGTCTAAAAGAATATTCTGTATCTCACAAAAATAAACTCAGAAAGGGAACATCACTGCTCGTATAGTGTAAAGATGATGAAATGACATCCACAATATCCCAATTTTCTTTATCATCAAATTCTGTTATTCGTAACCATTCAAGCCAATATCAGTTCAATGACATTTTGATGTACTGTCTGTTCCACCTTTTTTTCTCTTCCATCCTATTTACACCATGCTAACTATAGCAGAGCACAGAATGATAGTGGCAAGATAGGCGCTATATACGGATGGAAAATGACCTTAATACAAATTTTACTCAATTGTGCACACTTTGAAAGGATGAAATACAACTCAATTATGCCTATGACCTTCTCCACTGTATGAGTGCATGGAGCTTTGAATGCTCTGTTGTTGGCATAGAGTTAGGTAGAGAATGGAGTAATGACAGCATTACAGCCATGCATGCATGCAGCCTCATATCACACATGATGCCCAGAAATACACTGCAGTTTGTCATTCAGACTGACAATAATATTTACAGGTATTCCCCATTTTGAGTGGGAAAGTATTTCTTTACAAATAGTATCAATAAGGTTACATATTATGAAACCAAATATGTGTACTTTAAGCAGATATTGAAAGGAGTGAAAACACAAAACATGCTTTGATTGCTACTCAAGTCCTTATAAATAAATTACCCTAGCAAATGGATGTTTTCATCTACTTTCCACAAATCATGTGAAATTATGCTATAAAATAAGATAAGATATTGATTTGTCTTTCTTTCAGTATGGGCGAGCCTATGTTCCAAACTTTTCAAATAAAGGATGAAGGCACTAAGTATCTACAAAGTTACTAGTTTTACTAAATTGTATAATACAACTTAAATGATGAAGTTTTTACTGTTGGGCTACAGGTGCATTACAAACTAGTCATTCATGTAGGTCCAAATAAAGAAAGGCGATTCTACAGATGGAGAACATTGAATGAGACGATTAGCCCCCCAAACGCTCAAGATATTTTTCATGGGAAGGTACATAAATAAAACGAGGCAAAATCCCAAAATGAAACCATAAAGTTAAAGCATAATCAGCAAAGGATTTGGAGCAAAGAAACATTTGATTCCTCTCTGGGTACTGTATGCCGGTTTTTTCTCTTTTTCAACTGTCCACCTTGCCTGACAAAATAACATCTTTTATTGGACAAAATAAACTTATGCTACACTAGCTGTTCCAGAAAGTTCTTAAAGGATAAAGCAAGGCTACTGGATTAAAAAGTTTACCATTATCATTGCTCAGTGATTTGCTACACACACAAAAAAAAATCACTTCTCCACAAGACTTTTATATTTTTTGGTTACCTCTGTGAGAGCAATTCTTCAATTGAGATAGCTGGTAGTGGGTCTCTCTCTCTCTCTCTCTCTCTCTCTCTCTCTCTCTCGTCGTTTCTCTCTCTCTCTCTCTCGTCGTTCTCTCTCTCTCTCTCTCTCTCTCTCTCTCTCTCTCTCTCTCTCTCTCTCTCTCTCTCTCTCTCGTTGTTTCTAGCTCTCTCTCACTCACTATTCATTAGAGTCTACCTACCTCTCTGTGAGAATTTCTTCATTCTGAGATAGCTGGTGGTGAGTCTGATGATGGAGCCCTTATCGAGTCTTCTGGTGACTTCCTCCGGATAAGGAAGGAGCTTGGAGAGAGCAGAGATCTCCTCTGTCTCCTTGTCTCGTCGCATCTTAGCAGCATGGCGAGATCGTTCCGCCCTATCAACACAAAAATACATAAAAAACATGATTCAAAAGGTACTTGTATATTTACAAGTTTATGGTTAACTCAAAATTGAATTTAAACTTGAATAGATAAGTGAATATCTATTTTGTAACTAATATCCAACATTGTATTTGCCATTTTATTGCCCTTTGACATCAATAATCTCTTTCCCAATCAGTACTGATTTCATTGACAGTATTTTATGTAGTAATATTACAATAATATTACAATAATTCATATTTTTTAATTATCTTACATTTCAATGTTCCAGATTAAGTGTACCAGAAAAGTCAAGAATTATTAAAGATGTGTCAACATTTTTATCAGAATATAAGATTCAAACTACCGTAGTTAACAAACAAATGTCATCTGAGTCATGAATCGGAGCAATATGACATCATTGAAATGGTTTCTCTACATGATATGCATAAACTGGATAGGCTTTAATACAGTATTCATACAAAATATTACAATACAGTATTTAATATATATTTATTAAATATGGACACCATCCAAATTTTTCTCTTTACATATATTTCTATACCATTTCATAAGCAGGCCTAGAGCTAAAAGAGAAGAAAATTAAGAAACCATTTGCTTATAAAATGAAAACTGCATGTATAACTTACTGCACCATCAAATGTCATTGATGTCATTACTTTCAGTGTGTGGAAATGCAAGATTATTTTAAGTTGTAAAATTGTCTCAAATAGATGAAAAAATATCAACCCATTAAAACTAATCAAATTTCAATGCATACCCTTAACTTTCAAAGCTATCTTGACATTGTCTTGCTGAAATGGGAAGGGAGTCATAATACATGCTCTACTACAAGAAATGCCTCTGACATTGGGCACTAATATTCAGATCTACTGGTAATCTTGTATGACAAAGCGATCATTTCAATTTTCCATGTTTATCTGGACTTTGTCTGTGACACACTTATGCTGACATAGGAAAGGCTACACCACACAAACCTGGAGTCTACCATCATATGAGATATGTTTCAAAATGCTGTAATGAAGATATGAAAGTGCTTTAGCCCTCACCTCCGTTACCATGACAACGTTGAGAGATTTGATTGGCAAAGAGACCAAAAGTGATGTGGTAAATTGTTTTCAGGCAGCGTAGTGCTATTGGTAGTAAATTGGATAAAAGGGTCATATGTTTCACAGGGACATTTTTAGAGCTGGAGGATGGAGTAAATTACTCCACTCTCCTCCCGTTTCCACGAGTACAACATTTTATGGAAGGGGACAACATAGTGTAAACTCATACCAAAACTTGAGCAGGTAGATTGAGTACATTTATTCACTCTTCAAAATGGTTGAAGGTAGCATCTCTTCCTCTTTAAAAAAAAATTGAGAATGTTGATTACTACATGACATGTCACGGTGATTAGCCAAATCATTTCACTTCTTTTTTGTTCATTTTTAAAAGTGCACATTTTTTCAGTTCCTACTAACAATCAGGATAGTGGGGAAAGCATTCTGCACATGCACCTTTTTTTTCTGAAGTAACTTCAAACTTAGGGATTTACCCTTCTTCATTGTTATAATAAAAATAGCTGATTCTTATAAAGCGCTTTACCATTTACAACATAACCTACCAAAGAACTTCATTGTTAACAATATTTGATTTTTATCAGGTTTTTGCTGACTATTCAATAGTCCAATTATGTCCTTGAAAACCCACATTAAAATTTTAATTATAATTTTGAATCCTAAAAAGGCTTGGTTACTATGATCGTTTGACCACCCCTTCCTTAAATTTTTGCCATACAAAGTGTAAAACCGTTTGCACTGTGCAAAAATCCATACTTGAAATGTTATGAAGTTGATATAAAATGATGCATAATGAAAGCACATACCAGGATTTTTGCCATAAATAATTAGTAGTTGATAAAGTACCAGGGTATAGATTCCACCCCTCTTGCAATTCTTTCAGGGTTAAATCTCAAATCTACCGGTACATGTATGAATTTGACATTTGTAAGCCGATCGTGATGGAGGCCCGCTATAACTTTCAAATGTACATATTTGTATATTTTGATATATAACCCAACTAAATGATATCGTCTCTCAAAAGAGCTGTTTGGGTACATGTGCATACATGTAGGACAAGATATGAAAATGTACTACAAGAATAGATAATCTAATTAGACTATTAGACTACATTTTGATACATTGTGAAGGACTGTTCCTATGATAATGTTGAAAACCATAATAAACCATTCCAAATCAGTCTTCTGTAATTTATGTATAATATCTAATGGATTTCAGAGTTGTATGTCATTGATTTGAAAAATTGGTGCTGGAGTGAGTATTCATTAGCTTTTTTTTTTACATACAAACTTATGAAGAATGTTTTCTACAAAATAACACAGAAAATATCTACCAAAAAATCCCATATGAAGCATTTTACTTGGATTTTGATGCATTATGAATGCCTATAAGTATGGACAAACAATTACTGTTTGTTTGAATACAAGCCAGCAAAACAAACTTCAACTAAAAAGGTTCATAATACTGTGTACTACTCAACATCGGAAGAAGAAGAAGAAGAAGAAGAAGAAGAAGAAGAAGAAGAAGAAGAAGAAAAAAAAGGAAAAAAAGTTACATCCATCAATCCCATGAGATTACATAATTCGGAAATATTGCCTGAATAATTTCTTTTTACATACAGAGAACTTAATTTTATCTAAATGCTTAGCACCTGCTTAGTAAGAATTCATACATCTCAAGAAAATTTCAAAAGGGCATAAATTAAAAAAATATATATATAAAAAATACTGAAGGCCAAAAGCTGTACCTCCTTGTTCCCTTAAGTACATGTAAACACATATTTTGGTGGACATGTGCATCACATTAGACAAAACACAAACTCTTCTTGATCTTGCAAGCAAAGAAATTTCATTGACAATACTCATCAAAGATTACCTGATCATGATGCAAATGATGTCGACATCCACAACAAAGAAAAATTGAGAAGATAATGTAAATAAAATCCCAGGTAGCTAAGAAATTGTTTAGAGGTCTACAGCGCACAACTGTTCACATGACCATAGTAGAAACATGGCCGACACAGGAAGAAACATTCAGGTTATTTCCACTTTGTCCCTACGTCCTGCCAGTAATGTCAACAACTGACCACACAAAATTACATCATGAATGCGACCCCGTGAATACTCACACACACATACACACTCACTCACTCTAGCATAAATAATCAATGCACTTTTTGCATAGAACACACAGAGCCTCTCAGGAAGGGCCAGTCGTTTTAATCAAAAAGAAAAGAAAATGCGAACATACATGCATAAGTTTCACATTGTATGTGTGTGCATGTGTGTGTCTGTGTGTGGAGAGAGAGAGAGAGAGAGAGAGAGAGAGAGAGAGAGAGAGAGAGAGAGAGAGAGAGAACTGGACAAGAGACCCTCAAGGCCAGTGCCCAGGCAACATTTATTACACAAATGAGCTGACCCGATAACTCCCGACCAATCAGAGAAGAGCAGACAGCTCAGAGTGGCCAGCCAGGAGCCCTCATGTTTACAGGGAACATGAGTTAATATGATCTAGAATGATGAAGGGGTGTGGTTAAGAAGTCAGTCAATTCCTGCCTCTATAAAGTAGATCAAGGTAAGTCCCTCCGTCCAACACACACATACATGTATACTACTCTGGTCATTGGCTTTCATCAAAGTAGAGCACTGCTTTTGTGTGTCATCACTAAAAACATTTCCAATGGTTTTCAAACAAGTCTATTGATACAAAGAACAAACAATCAGTTGATCTAGATTTTACTATCTATCTACTCTGGAATACTTATCCCAATACAATAATTATTTAAGGCATTTAAAAAAAAATCCATGGTGTAACCTATTTTAAGAAAGTCCATGACTCTTTGTGGTAAAATGTATCATGTAGGGCCTATGATGTCAAATTTGGTCAATATACATGTACCTGTAGTGTTTTTTGTTTTGTTTGTTAATACATGAACTGTTTTAATAGCAGTTTCTTTGTGCCTCTTTTAAATACACAATGTTTCACCAATAACAAAATTCTTAATGTAGGCCTAGTTGTTTAAGCTCAATATACATCAATTCGCCTAGCTCCTTCCAAGGTTCATGCAATCTAGTACTCCTCTCCACTATCTTGTACAATAGTAATGTTTTTACCATCCCCATGTTCAAGTAATGTCATCTCAAAAACTGGGTGTGAAATCCTGTTTCCTAGTGATGAGAAAAACAGAACCCCTTCTTCCTCTCTACATTGAGGTCTTGGTTCAAACTTGATATACCGATCATGGCACTGATGGCATTGAGAAATCTATGTCACAATTTCATTGTCAAATACAAACACAACTATCTTGAGTGTACACTTGTTTAGCCAAGGGGTATGAGGAATTACATATTACCTACTGTTTCTAATCAATATATTATTCATTTCCTGTAGAACAAAGAAAGAAAATACATGTATGCCAATCATCTAGGACATGGTCAGTAACCATGTAGTGATCTTAATTCAACATAAAAAACTATGCCTTAAAGGACTTTGTAGAATTTGTATTAAAAACCTCCATTCATACATGTAGATCAAACTCTGTACCTGGCAACTAGCATGCAATTCCCTTTGTTGTTGTATAACACTTCTAAACACACACAACATATTATTCCACATAAATTATAAAACTAGGCTATGATCCATTTGACCCAAATATCTGACAATCTATTTCATTGATTTGTCTTAATTTTTTGTGAAGAACAAATATGTCAAATTTGTGAGGATGGAGATGAAAGAAGTTATTGATTTGATGTGTTTTCTGCAGGAGGGTGTATACTTAGTTCTAATGACGATATTGATTTTACTAGGTATTTGGGTCAAAGGAGCATAGTCTTGGCTCCAGGAATGCCAGACAACATTACTAATTCAAATTGTCTTTAAAGGTAAAGACCAGTATTGGAAACGCCCCAATTTCAAGAAATGAAATAGAAGCTCTTATTACTAATCATGTGGAAGAATATGTTTTGACTAATACATGATGATAACAATTTTGCCGGGAAACTGCCTACTAATTGATATATTTGGTAAATTAGTTTATCTACATGGTCTGTGAGAGGTAAACGCACGTGTCGCACATGTGCGTATAGTCCCATATACATCTTTCTGTGTACAGTGCTTGTAACTCTACGAAGACTGGGCCATATTTCTTATCATTTTGATGATTCCAGAACCTTGCAGTACACACCAATACTTATATGCTAGATGATCAACCTTTTCTGATCGATTCCACAACGTTTCTTTCACAATGCAATCGAATGACCATAACTGGTCTTTACCTTTAACTGTGATCTTATCAAATTTGCACTATTACCTGGAAGCTTTGCTGTGACTTCCTGTTACCAAGTATGACTTAGAATGATTTCTTCTCTTTCATATCTCCATTCCAGAACTGAACCCCATCCTAAAATCTTCCTGCTCAATAACATTGATGTCTAAAATTACATAGAATGAAAATAGCTAATTGCTTTGAGTTTCGTCCTGAAGTAGAAACCGGTACATGTATCATGAAGGTTGATCCTATAGCAGTGTTTCAAAGCCAAAGTTAGCTTTCAAATTAAAAAATTCGACCCCAAAAACTTGTCTCTTGAAAGTTTAAACAGAATAACTGTTCCGAATCCCAGTGCCATGAAAGCGGTGAAAGGTGCAACAACAAATAAGATTAAGATTTGACAACATGACACTGAATGACTTTTGACTACAATGAAATATCCCTACAACTACAACTAATTCGGTAGGAATAGTATAATGAAGAAATGTAGAAAGAAAAACAGCTACATCATGGTCTTGTGAGTGATAAGTGCTGTTCAGCAATGTTTAATATTTCCAGCAAAGTTTGTTTCATTTGTACAGTACTGCTGCAAAAGCGATAAACAAATCTGCAACAGATACACAATTCAAAATTACTTTCTTTATCTTGAAATGCTTTTCATTATCAGGACATTATTCAGGCATTATAAAACTGAAAGGAAATAACATTTAAGGGGAGAATTTGTTTCATACAAGTATAGGCTTACATCCATTGTTCACTTTGCCCATGTGCACAATGCATCATTATTTAATATTCTATCATCATATTTCATGTAGTTATAGTAGTGACTAGTGAGTAGACTGTCTTTATCATACAGTATTCCATACCAAGCCAAGTAAAAAGTAGATCGTATAGGATCGTATAGGATGCATTAGTTCAGGCAGGATAGTTCCATAAATGGCTAATCTTGACTTAATGACATTTGCACCCCTCTATCCTCCCTATTAGATAAAGTGGTTGGGCATGGATACTTCCACAGATCATTGCATACCATAATATAACATTTACCCTTTTTTTCTTCCCGAGTGTCAATTGGCTGTGGTGTTACCACACATCCCTGGCCACAATTGCCACTGGGAAATCTGTCTTCTACTGCGTTAAGAGAAAGTATTAATTAATCCCGAAAGAACTTGCTAATTGCTATTCCAGACACTCTGGCATGCAGTGTAATATCTCTGCGTGTGACATGATAGTGTATGTAGCTAGCTAATACTTCTTAACAAGAGACCTTTCTTGGTTTGGATTACACAAAGTGTCTTCTTCTTGGCCTTGATCATCCCCAGATAGTACTGGAGCTCAATATACATTACATGTATTTAATTTTTTATTTACAATTCTTAGAATGATAAAAAAACATATGAACCCTGACATGTTTCCTGGTAATAACATAATGCTGTGAAATGTGATGTATCTCACTGTGTTATCATTGAACACAATTCATTAGATCACAGCATCAATAAGGATAGATAGGTGCATGTCTACCAGTATGTTTATTTTATCCCAGTTGAGAAATCAGGAGACCAGTAGATCTCAAAATTCTATGAAAGGGAAAAGTTTAAAGGATTCTCTAATGCCATAAACTATATGCACAGACTTGGTCTTTAATCTAAAATTTGTAGATTCTATAACCATTCAAACCATAAAATCAAACCAGAAAATTAACAATATAATCAATCTAGATAAGTAATTGTCTTAGAAACTGTAGGACATCTCTAGAAGTCCTATCATAAGCTTTTAACATGGTATCATATGGGGTCACAACACAAGACACATTTAGACATCAGACCAATCTACTCATATCAATGACTGTATGGGAGCATCTTTCACTGGAAGTCAGGGTGAATGGAAAGTACCAAACTATGATGGCATGACCTTATGTTGCCATGGTAACTAGACTGATTTGGTTCACTACATTCCAGGGCTACAGGCCTGTGAATCAATAGACAGTTATCCCAATGGAAGCATGTGATAACTGAAGGGTTTCTTGCATCAGTATGAATATTCACTCATGAATCCCAGCACAATAGCCATTTATTTCTTTATCCTCTTGCCATCTTGTACCAGCATGTAAATGTAGGCCTAACTGGATGAATGTATCTTTTCCAGGAATTGATCTAGTGTCTAGACAGATATTTTTCTGCATCAATATTTAATCTAAGCTCATACCAGTAGGGGGCAGTCTCCTTTCATGGATGTTGCATAACTCTATTGCATCTGTAGTCTACAACTACAGACTTCATTTCAAACATTACCAAAATCATTTGTATTATAATTGATCTAGAACTAAATCAGCTAATGTATAGATCCTAAGCACATGTACTATAGTCCTCTGTGACTGATAAAAGTTTCATGGCTGTAAAGTAGCATTATTTGATGCACACAACATGCATGTGGAAACTTTGAAGGAAATAAAAAAAATTGTTTTATTTTTGTTTTCTTCTACATGAGATACAAGGTGGCATCATCAAAAAGTCAAACAACAGCACTAGATGAAGTTTCAGGTTTTTGTCACTGCAATATTACCATCAACAACAATATAAATTCACAAAAATGACATACCAGTAAGTGCAATGTATGCATATATTGATGGATGATGATTTATAACCGATTGTGATCATGTGATCATCACGATGCAATACAATGAACATCAGAACAATGATTATACAGATAAATACATTGTATTATGCATTGATGCCTACATTACATCTACATGCATAAAGTCACAGAGCGGCCATATAAGAGTGAAGGAAGAGAAAGAGAAGAAGGTGGTGATAAAAAGGAGCCCTCAAGGGGGTAAAACGTCACAGTCATCCTTGACCCTTCTCCTTCAACTTGCACTACCATTACTCAGACAGATAATTTCTACAACCCCTTCTTTCCTTCTTAGGCTCCTTAAATTACATTTTTCTATTTCTTGCCAAAAAGTTCAGTAAATCTGCCTCACGGCTATCAGGTATAGGCGAATTCATTACCACTACACGGTTTGTTATAAGGTACTTACAGAATGCTTGAAGCTATACGGACTATGCAACAACTTAGATATGCGCATTTAAATGCTTCATGAGAATGTCACTGACCGGTACATTGAGAGCATGGTCAGCATGGTCAGCATGGTCAAGTGACATGCAGTCTCTAGTATCAAGTTTTGTTTAATCTAAGAAGAAGAAAAGTAAAATTGTTTACGCACCAATGCAATGAAATGAATCTTGATTTCGTCATAAGTGTTATTCTGTCAAAATGAACATTTCTTTGCGTTTATTCTTCAGTCTAATAATATTCATGCATCATGCCGTTACCATGTATGCCTATACTTGATATACAAAAAGAGCCTGCTTTTCAACTGAACAATGAAAGAAGTTGAATATATGATTGGTTTGTATGATGAGAGATGATGAAGCATATATATATACATACGTCTGATTCAAGAGAGGAATGTCTAAGTCCGACTGCAAGGCACCATGGGTTCTGGCCATCCCATGATTCCCTTTGTGCACCTTGTATGAAGGCATGTAGAATGCATTAACATCAGTTCTCACTTGTTCAACAAAATTCCTTGCGTTCTGAGCTTCAAATGGTTATACCACAGCCAGATGTAGAAGTCATGTTATGTAGATCACCTCAATTCAATCCCCCAAATTGGAACAAAATTCTATGTAAACTGTGTGCCAATTCACAAAAATTGCAGTTTCAGATATATTTCATCACAGTGATCATTCCACATATGTGACTTTAACTCAATCTAATAGTTTGAGTGCGTGGCAGGCAGGTATTGGTTAGAGAAGTAGATCCCATGAATGTTTGATACAGACTGATAAGTGTCCTTTGAAAGGAAGCAAATAACTGCAGCTCATCGATAAATCAACCTATCACCTGCTGTTGGCTTGACCATGAGTGACCACTTCATACAACAAACAAAAAAGTGACCTACTTCAAGAAAAAAGAAGCAAACAGTGACAATCATGCATGGGACCAAACCAGGGTAAATAGGAGTCTCTGACTGAGTCTTGAATTGGGGGTGGGGTAGAGGGTGTCATTTCTAATTCAATCAGTATGTTTTGCATCGGGTGTAAGTCTCCTTTCCTAATAAGCCACATGTATTGATTTAGTTTCTTTGTAGTTTAAGGAGTTAGTCGTGTGTCGGTGTGTATTTGGTCCAGCAGTAACCACAGAGTTTAGTTGACCTTGAACTGTTCACTTTACTCAGGAATCTAGCTAGTGCTTGCACTGGTGCTCAAACCCTTTCTTCGTTCTGTTTTCAAATAAATAAATAAATTTGTTGGCCTACTATATATGCTGATAGAACTATGCCTGCATAAGCCTGGACACTGCCATTGAAGAAAAAATAAGTGAATTCCCTAAATTTGATTTCTAACACTAAAGAAATAATACAAAATTAGACAAAAAAATATTATACCTTGTAACCTAAGTCATGAAAAGTGATATAGTATGCACGTTTTCAAACAGATCAGGGAACAGTGACATATCAAATGGATAGATATGCTAAACTCAAGCAGGTCTATTCATACATACCGGTATATATATATATATATATATATATATATATATATATATATATATATATATATATAAACTTAAACTTGAAACTTGATTATGAAGTGAAGCTGATCATTTTGGTACACTTTCCACACTAATAGTCAATCTGTAAGGAATTGGGAGGTGTCATGACATATGTAACTAATCTAAATACTCTTTTATCCTGTCATCTCCTTCTATACAGCATCTAGCAGACACCCAATCCTTTGAGCCATCTGGCCCCTCAGTCTTGGATAAAACTGTGCAAACCCTTCAACAGGGGTAACAAAGTCCAGGAAGACGGTCTACGTGAAGGCTACGTTACTACTGCACATGCCCAGTTATCTTGGCTTTTGTAAGGTATCATACAGAGCAGACTGATGAAATAAGTCTCTCTCTTCTCTCTCTCTCTCTCTCTCTCTCTCTCTCTCTCTTTCTTCTTTCTACTTACTGGTACCTTCTTGAGGCCCTAATTTGACAAGTCCACCTTTCATTTACAAGGGGTATGAATAATTTTATTAACTCTACTTATTAAGCAGAAATATAACTCATAATTTTGCTAAAATTCTAATTAATTAAGATCATTAAATGCAAGAAGAATGATCCTTCTATGATTTCATAAAAGTGGAGTAAATAGATCTTGTGTCACAGTGGGTGATTATTGTTGCTGTTGCTGTTCCTGCACTGCACTGTCCTGTATAATACACAAGCCCTTGGAAGCTGAAAGTGTTACCAAGGAAACGAATAGCAATTTTTCAATTTTATCTTCAATCAAAAAAGTTTTGATTCTAATGGAGCATTTCCATATGAAACTGTAAACATCTCAGTGACTGGTTAATGGTACAATGTAATACAATGTTTGCTAAAATTGGGGATACAACAGTCATAATTCAATTCTTAAACAAATAACGACACAAGGCCAGATTCATCCTTCTTACATTCTACTATGTCAGCATCATTGCATCATTTTTTTGTAATGAAAAATGTCAAGGAAGGAATAATAGGACATAAAATTTGACCAAACAAAGGCATTCACATGGTCAAGCTACAAACTATGATGTAAACATGTCTGATGGCATGACTCAGCCAACTAGGGTCAACAGAAATGAAAAATAATATTGCCTTCCCTGAAGCAGAAACATGTTATGTAACTTAGTAAGTACATGTAGAACAAGAGAGACAGAGAGAGAAGGAGAGAGGAGAGAGAGAGAGAGAGAGAGAGAGAGAGAGAGAGAGAATAGAAGAGAGAGAGAGAGAGAGGTGGATTGGTGGGGGTGGACCAAATAATCCATAATGGCTTTCCTAGTCTGTATCAAAGACACAGTTGTGAAAGGTGGTGTGTACATTACAGTATATCTTCTTTGAGTTCCTCTTTTGCCCCATGAGTCTTGACGGTGTCCATTAGGATAAAAATGATTAAATGTATCTACAACTGATAAAAGAGCATGAAACATTGAAAATAGTCCTGTAGGCCTATATATCAGTTTCTGGCGGCAGCATGTAGACTATTATTGACCTGACTGATACTATTCATGCAGAAGACAAGAGAAAGTAGACACAAAAGTTTGGGACAATAGAGGGGACATGAATAGGTGATTGTAGGTGTAATCCTGTCAATAGCTAGCTGACCAATCAGATATATCTCTAAACAAACAGCTTTGGTTATCTCTCTGTCTGAACTAGGTGATCTACTTTGAGAACTTCAAAGTAGATCACTCTTGCGTCATAACAAACAGGCTGGAACTGCCCCACATCATATCATTCTAACCTAAATCAAAAACTTATAAATTAAATCTGTCATCCACATGACAAGAAGGTGAATTTAACAAAATCTAGTTTGAGAAAGTTCAAAGTAGGATATAAGTGCACTGGCATTATTCTTATGTTTATTTACGGATCCATTTGAAAATAAAATGCTCTAATTTTGTTTTAAAATATTTACATGAAAGTATCTTTTTAGAATCAAGGTGAAAAGGAATAGCATTAAGTCTTTATCTTTCAACTTGGAGCAGTTTCTACTCACTTGAAGTAAAAAGCATTCCACAACAATGCCCAATTTATTTTTCTGAAAAATAGAAAGTCTGTCTCTTTTTTTAGCCAGAAGAGCGTTAAACTAATATAATTTAAAACAGACCTAACTACCTTCTAGCATTCAGCAGACAAGTTAGGCCATTAAAAAACAAATCATGTTTAGCGTCCTGCCTTTTTGAAAATAGGAAGGAGGAGGCCCTTTTTTTTCTTCAAAATGTCCACTTGGTATATTTTTCAAGATGGCCACCAGCATGTGTTTTTTTCATAAATATATATATTTTTTTTTAATTAAAAAAAGGCGGCGGCCAAAAAAGGAGGCGGCCCCCAAAAAGGAATCGGACGGGAATGCTAAACATGAACATTTTTTTAACTGGCCTTAATAATTGACTTCAAGAAACTTAGCATGAGCCAAAGTCACAGTGACAATAATATTGTGCTCACTAAAAATAGAGACCTTACAAAAAAAGAAGCTCCACTCAAACTAATTAACTTGCAAACTAATATATAATGATCAGTCAGCCATTACATTATTTGCTGTAGATAGAATTTTGCATTTGAGGCCCACAATGTCATTGATCCCTGTACAGATCTTGTCAACTTTCATGCGGTCAATTATCAGCAGCCACTTCCTTAAAACATGAATTTTTGTAAGATATTCACACTAAAATTCTTTTTTTTTTAAATATTCAAGACTCATCCAGCCAATAGAAATCTCTATAAAGATAATTTGGTTCTGGTAGCAGAAAAGAAATTGAAATAGAATTGGTTGAGTACATGTAAATTCTCATATCGCACCGGATAAAGCCATTTGTTGTTTTGTCAGATCTATAATTTTTAATCCATTTTTTGTGTAAATACCTGGAAGGAACCTCAAATTTAGTTCAATAGTATATGTAATACCAAAAATTGTGTCATTTGTCAATATATACATGCCAGATGCGTATGGGAATATAGATCCTGGTCCAGGAGGTCAATTATTTTTCACCTCACATCAGGAAAATATTCTACAATGGAACACACGATGAAACACATAGCACTTTTGCAACATGGAACTTCACAAATTGTTCATGATAGCCATTTTGGCAGCCAGGACAAGTATTTCAAAATGTTATGTTATGATTAATTATTTCCCATGAAACTGCAAAATTTGACCACTCATCATCTTTTTCAAGCACGCCGAATTTCTAGTTTTACATTCTCTGTCAAGAATAGATCAAATTTTTCATAAAAGTAATTTGTTTCATTATTCTCCCACCCCCACCCCCCTAAAAGCATAAAGTACATGCATATTCCAATAATAATAACTACAACAATAGCGACAGCAGAAGAAAAAAAATAACAATTACATATACATGAGTATTCTTCCAATAATAAAGATGTATTTACCCCCCCCCCCCTTATTTATTTTCTCTCTCTCTTTCTTTCTCTCTTTCTCTCTCTCTCTCTCTCTCTCTCTCTCTCTCTCTCTCTCTCTCTCTATATATATATATATGTATTAAATTAAACACTACTGTGACAATTTCCAGCAGATGCAACTACCAAAATATATAACATGCTAGGCATAAATACTTCATAGTAGCAACACATGTTCATGTAGACCTATTATGCTTCAGTGTAGTTCTGCCTGGAGAGAGCTTATCACATGATATAAGGCCTGGTAAACAAAGATGACGCTAGAGAAAGCAGCCCAGCCCAGCCCAGCCAGCCCAGCCTGGCCAGACAGCTACCCTGGGGATTTGACCTTAGTCCAGGACACTGGACCCTTGGAAGACTTGGTCAGTCTGGACAAACATTAAAGGGATATATCAATAATTCAATATTCTACCCCAACTACTGTCTCATCAATCCAGTTTTTGTTCTTCTAATTTCTTACTTTTTGTATGCTTTGTAGGCTTAAGGGAATTCAGCAATTCAAGCTTGTCAAAAGCTTAAATATAGATGTAAGAAATTTGTGTACTTTCATTTCCGCTTTAATACTTCAACTGGATTTCTGTTTTCTTTCTTTTTTAACTATGGGCAAAGTAATATACATGTACATGCCAACAACTTAGCCTTTCTTTGTGTCTGCTTCAGCACAAGGAAATAATTCTGTCCCATGCTGTATTTCTAAAATAAGACTACAAATATCCTTGAATGTGTGAGATATCCCTTTAAGAAGTGGCTTCATGTAGGAGTGGTCCATAGAATGAGAATCTGAATAGAGGTAGATCTATTGATTATTTTGTCTATCTACTAGACAACTGCTGATCCATTAGTTCAGCTTAGCTTGTGGTCCTTTGTAACTCAGTGACATGTAACTACTTCAGCTTCAAAGGGTGAGGACTTAATCCAGCTTTTCATCAAACCTGGGAGTTAATCAATGGAAATAATATTCATCAATCACTATGACCCAAACACATCCCACCCATCATGTCTCATAACCTGACAATGTGCTTCCCCTTTTTATTTGTTAATAATTCTTTACGTCTTTACTTTAATCATATGATAAGAAAACATTTTACATTCACTATGAACATGGCAGACAAAGAAAGCGGACAAAATATACAGTTCCTCAGGTAGACAAAGGAACATCCCTTCACTGCTATTATGTAAAAAGGTGAATATGCATGTGACACCTGTTCTACACATTTTTACATAAAAGCAGTGAAGGGATGTTCCTTTGTATACCTGAGGAACTGTATATTTTGTCCGCTTTCTTT